TTTAATCCCAGCACTCGGGAGGCAGAGCCAGGCGGATCGCTGTGAGTTCGAGGCCAGCCTGGGCTACCAAGTGAGCTCCAGGAAAGGCGCAAAACTACACAGAGAAACCCTGTCTCAAAAAACAAAAACAAACAAACAAAAAAATTCTGCTTCCTGTTTCCTCATCCCAATAGATGCTTCATGTTGGTTTTAGCTAATAATAGGAATTTGTGATTGCCTTAAAAAATAAAATTATATTGCTTTAATTTTGACACTGCTTAGAAATCTTGTCTATTCTAAATTCTAAAGAGTCCATTTTTGGTGGTGGAAATTGTATCTGAATAAAATTATATAGCCTTCATTTATTTGCTCAAGGCATTTGTCTTAACAGAAAGAGATGAGGGTAGGTGATGGTTTACTCATTTACTTAACCAGTTAACTGTCTGTGAGCTAATAAACACTAAGTTATTTTCTGATGTTCTGAGGACAGTGAGGTGAGCTGGCAGGTCAGTGGTTTGGTGCAGTTTTGACAGTTTTGAAGCTTAGCCTATCAATGCTAAACTAAAGTGCAGTCCTTTCTCCTCAGATAACCTGATAGTGGAGGAAGCAGTGCAGGAGCTGAACTCTTTCCTTGCGCAAGAGAATGTGAGGCTCCAGGAGCTGACAGACCTCCTTCAGGAGAAGCATCACACCATGTCTCAGGAGGTACTTGACCAGAAAGGAGTGACAGCCATTCTTAGTAGCTCTGGCTGACATCAAGTCAGAATTAGGAGAACTTTGAGAGTCACTTTATTCTAGAAAACATACTTTGATATTGAAGAGGGTGTGAGGCAACAATAGTCAACACTGAGAGATCAAAGTCTGTGGAAAGGTTAAAGGAAGACAATAATTAAATATTTCTCATGCCTCTGCTTAATAGACAGTTTGGGATCTTCATTATTGGGAAGAAATGTCACAACACAACAAAAATTGTAAATCCCTAAATAATTCACTGCCCTAAATATAAAAGACTGTGAACAATGGTACTGAGGAATAGCTAGGTGAAAGTTCAGCAGGGAGTGGGGTAAGGGAACTCATCTGCATTGGTGATGCCATAGGAACTTGGAATGTGAGTTTTCACTCCAGACTAGGCCACAAATAGTTCCATGACTAACACATGTCAGACAAAAATAACCTAAAGGTAAATACAGAGTAATGGGAATGTGGGGGCAGTTTTGTAATCAAGATGCTGAGTAGCATTAGCTGGTTGATAGCTCCTTAACAGAATTGGTCTTGGGGAGATGGCTCAGTGGATACAGAACTTGTCATGCAAAGTTGAGCTCTCCAGAATCTACATAAAGCTGAAGGTAGTAGTATAGGTCCCTAATCCCAATACTCCACTCTCTAAGGTGAAATGGGAGGTGGAGACTGGAGATGCCTACAAGTGACATATGACGGGAAATTGGAAGGCAAGGACTTATATCTGAGGTTGTTCATCTCCACATAACAAGCTATGGCACACGTATGCCTGGACATGCACGCGAACACATACATGCTTACACTCACATACAACCTGATTGTAAACTGCTGAAGAGTCAGCTTAAAAAACACTAGAAATTTCCATTTTGTTCTATGAGAATTATCACTTCTGGATATGGAGAGAGAGAAAGTAAGAGATGTTATTGATTTGAATTCATATTTTTCTAAAACATTTGATACCAGATGTTTTCTTTTTTTCTTTTTTTTTTTAAATCTTCATTTTCCGATGGATTTGTGGTCTGTCTAGGGAAATGATGTTTTTCATGGGATTTCAAGAGATTACTAAATCTTAACTAGCCTTGTCCTTGTGTGAAAGTTCTTAGCAATTGTTTGTTTTTGTGATTGTAGCAGCATTCTTCACCTGAATCTATGACTTTATTTTTACACTTGGCTAATTTTTTTCTAAAATTGTGTGTGAGCAAGGGCTAGTTTTGTGGAATTTGGAACTTTTTTGACTTGATCTTTTTGTTGTTGTTTCTGAATGCCTGTCTTTGGGACGTAGTTCTGTAAGCTGCAGGCTAAAGTAGAGACAGCTGAGTCAAGAGTGTCTGTCTTGGAGTCCATGATTGATGACCTGCAGTGGGACATTGACAAAATCCGAAAGAGAGAACAGCGGCTCAACCGACATTTGGCTGAAGTCTTAGAACGGGTCAGTGCTGTTTTATAAAGGCTTTTGAAATTATTTACGAATGTATTTTTATTTATGTATATGCATGTGTGTGAGAGAGAAAGGGAATATATTCCATATGTGTGCAGGTGATTGTGGAGGCCAGTAGAGGGCAGTGGGTCCCCTGGAGCTGGTGTTACATGGGCTTGAGTCTGCAAGTGTGGATGCAGGGAGCTTCCCAGCTGGGCTCCTCTGCAAGAGCACAAGAGTCTTTAGCTGCTCAGCCATTATCTCTCCAGCCTCTGACTTTTTTCCCCCCAAGATAATAGTCTTTCTTTTTTTCTTTGAGACTTTTATACATGTATACAATATATTTTGATCCTATCTATCCTCCATCCAATTCTTCTAGATCCCCTTTCCATAGGCTCCCTTCCAAACTTCATTTTTTGAAAATAATGCACTGAGCCCTATCAGGACTGCTATATGCTCATGGGTGGGCAACACACCAGGGGCTGCATCCCCAGAGAAAAATGACTTTCCTTCCCTTAGCCGCTATCACGTGCCAGTAGCGCTTCAGCTAAGGGTAAGGCAACCTCTTTCCCCTTCAATGCTAGTATATTGGTTAGTTTGATCTTGTGCTGACAGCCATAGCTGCTGTGAGTTCGTGAGTACAACCCTGTCATGTCCAGGAGACATTGTTTCACAGTAGTCCTCCCTTCCTTCTAGCCCTTAATAATCTTCCCTGAGCGCTGAGTGTGTGTGTGTGTGTGTGTGTGTGTGTGTGTGTGTGTGTGTGTGTGTGTGCTGTCCTATTTTTGGCTGAGCACTTGATTGTCACTTGTTCTCAGTACTTTGAGCAGTTATATGTCTGTAGTAACCAGCATCCACTGCAAACACAAGCTTTTTTTGAGGACTCATCTTTCCCATGCACCTGAAGTTTTCTGGTCTCTCTGTTCTCTCTAGGTGAATTCAAAAGGCTATAAGGTATATGGAGCGGGGAGCAGTCTCTATGGAGGAACAATCACCATCAATGCCCGGAAGGTAGAGTCTGCCCAACCTGGCACATGGTGTTTCATTGGGAACAGGCCTTGTGCCTAGGGACTGGGATTGGTTCCCAGGCAAGAGTGGAACAATGAACATGGGAAGCATGAAGTGGGATGTCGGAGGAGTCCTTTCTCCTCGTTCTCATCTGCTGTTTTCCTGATCCTTTCCAGTTTGAGGAAATGAATGCAGAGCTTGAGGAGAACAAAGAGTTAGCTCAGAACCGACATTGTGAGCTGGAGAAACTTCGCCAAGACTTTGAAGAG